GACTGAAATTCAGTGACGTCAAGGCTGTAATGTGATTGGTTATTACGGCACACTTTCTCCCAATAGTAAGACAAACTCTGACTTGCATACGTTCAAATTACAAATGGCCGTGCCATTAAGGTAAGTGGGCTTACATTAAAAATAATGTGGATAAAGAGTGCACGATTCATTCAAAGTAAGTTTCCCAATGCGTGTGTGTGTTTATGGAGACGGATAAGCATTATGGAGTCATTGTGTGCTGAGCTGGAAGGTGGTAAGGCTCTTATGAAACAATGGCTTTTTGAATGATTTCCATCAATTCTGCCTCCGCATTGAGCTGCGCTATTCCCGTGAGGCCAGCGAGTGAGTGAGCGAGCGTTAACCGCAGACCGTCCGCTGTGAAGCAGAGCTCTGGCTGTCGCTAATCGATCGGCGTGTACTTTTTACCCCGCTCAACCATTGTTGCTGTACCACACACGCGCGCACATACTTCCTAATTAAACCCAGGAGTGCAGAGCTCAGGCCGGTCAGCCTTTGTTCAACTTTCCTCATCAAGAGCTCTCTTAGATATGCAGAGCTGCGGCCATCTGCCTCAGACAGACGTATCCCACAATGCCACAGAGGAGGAAAGACGTCAAGCCTCCAGCAAGGGAAACCGCAGAGCGATATTTGATTGAAATCTGTGTGAGAAAACGACAGTCATGTGCTGGGAGTATTCATTCGCTCATGATGTTCAGAGTGAAAGTGAATGCAAACTTTAAAACGTTTCAAAGAAATTAATAGCCTAGCTAATTTAATTAAGAAAGGATACATTACATTGTTTAAAAGTGACAGACATTTATAATGTTACAAAAGATTTCTATTTAAAATAAATGCTATTCTTTTGGACTTTGTTCTTTTGCGATTCACATAACGAGTCGTTCAGACTGCTTTGCGAACCAATTATGACCATTTAATAGTTTGGAAGAAATTAATAGGCTACTTTTATTCAGCAATGATGTAGCCTATTAAATTGATCAAATGTGACAATGAAGACATTTATAATGTTAGATAACATTTCTATTTCAAGTAAACAATGTTCTTTTGTACTTTCTATTCATCAAATAATCTTTCCACTAAAACATAAAGCCACACAACTGTGTTCAACATTGATAATAAGCAAAAATGTTTAAGTAGCAAATCAGTATATTAGAATGATTTCTGAAGGATCATGTGACACTGAAGACTGGAGTAATGATGCTGGAAATTCGACTTTGCCGTCACAGGAATAAATTACATTTAAAATATATATTCACATAGAAAAATCATTGACAGTCAGTTTAAAGGGGTCACATGACGTTGCTAAAAAATAACATTATTCTGTGTATTTGGTGTAATGAAATGTGTTTATGCGGTTTAAGGTTCAAATAACACATTATTTTCCACATACTGTACATTATTGTTTCTCCTCTATGCCCCGCCTTTCTGAAACGCGTCGATTTTTACAAAGCTTGCGGTCTAAAAAGCAAGGTGTGCTCTGATTGGCCAGCTATCCAGTGCGTTATGATTGGCCGAATACCTCAAGCGTGAGACGGAAATGTTACACCCCT